TCATTAAGCTATTTGGAGAATCGGCATTCCTGCCCACTGCCAAGCTCCGTCGTGCGCCCTCAAAACCGACGGCCCTCAATCGATCCCAGAATTTCTCGAGAAAGCAAAAAGAAACGCTCCGGCGCGAGATGTGCGAATTGCTGGATACGGAAGAAAACTATGTGAGCAAGCTGGACGAATTGATTCATACAGTAGCTGTTGAGTTTCGTGAAAAGGCAAAATCAAAGTCAAGTTCCAGTGGTAGCCCAACAGAGCAAGCACTCCAGGGCCTGTTTCCTCCCAGCCTGGACAAGATACTGGAAGTCAATTCGCAATTCCTGGAAGCCTTGCGCGTTGTGTTGGAAGAGTCGGAGAATGGAGCAATTGAAGACATCGAAACTGCCGCAGACGACGTCTATATCGCTCCTTTGCGAGGACAAAAAGATGCACCCGACGTCACGGGAGCGGCTGCAGTCGCAAGGACCCTTCTCGAGTGGCTGCCGCAGTTCTCTGATTGCTACACTGATTACATGGCGGCACATGGCGACTTCTCGCAACTGTTAAAGCACTTTACCAAGGACTCAGCCTCCAGCTTCTCCAAACGTGTTTACGAGACAGGTGAACAACGTCTCACGTCCATGTTAATTGAACCCGTACAACGCCTCCCCCGATACAACCTCTATATTGATAATATTCTGAAACAGTTGCCAGTTCGGCATCCGGCAATCAAACTATTCCTCAAGGCGAGAGATATGATATCAGACATTTGCACAAGAGAGGGCCCAACCGCACAGAAATTCAGAATATCTGGCCGTCTGCGCAAGATGGTCTCGTCATGGCCGTCTGGATGTAACCCACAAGGACGACTTATCACAGCAGTTGATTGTGTAGAGCTATCTCCACCATATCACGGCGAACTGTCTGGGCCAGCCACAGTATCCGGAATCATGGTGCTCTTTACTGACTTTCTAATACTTCTTCAAAAGTCTGAGTATGGCTCAATGACCGCCCGTGGTTTGCTCGCTGAACTCGACAATCCAAAATTTGCCGAGTCATTTGACGGCAACACCGAGCTCACATTTCATCAGCATCTGAGTCTGGGCGACGTTTTCATCAGCGAGCATTCAGAGGGAAACATCCTCCAAGTCCTATCCCCGGTGCCATCAGCTAACCCTTCTTCACGGTCACGGCATCGAGAACAACAACAGAGACTTGGAATCCGCATGTTCTATCTTCAAGGCTCGTATGAGGGTAAAGGACAAAAGTTCACGGAGGAATTCACTAAAGCTCGGGTTGAGGGCAGGTTTTCCGAAGCGGAGCGAGAAGGCGATAAATGGGAAGTCCGGGCCTTGCCAGGCGACTTGAGTCTATTCTCGTCTGTCACGGAGGAAACAGGTGGCAAGCAGATTGAGGGCCGGAAAGAGCCTGCTAAAATACAGATTCTTGTTGAGGGGTCCAAGTTCTCCCAGCCTATTCAAGTCGGCGACGATGGTGTCGAGCTTACCATCACAATCTCGAGCCTTGGGGAGGGATTGTATCTCCTGGAAACTAACGGGACCAACGGATATACGGCACGAGACAAACTGACGAGCCTAGAGTTTCTGCCTGTTCTGACGAAGCGCATGACCAACTACTTCCAACTGCGTAACAGTGTGAAGAATTTCGCACTGACTGAGGCCTATCTACGTCGAAACCACCAGATACTCAAGTCACTTGCTCTTGAAATGTACGAAATGGAACAAGAACGAGGCAGCAAGAGCCGTCCACATTCTCCAGTCAAGATGTTATCGAGTTTCTTTGGTGGAAGTGTGAGCAATCTCAGTGGCACCATCGGCAGGGAGGGTGGCGGTTCACGCAAACTACAGCGTAATGCTCATACCATGGGCGATATACCACGGATACCACCGCCTCTACAATCCGTGCCTGCTCGCGCCCAAAGCCGCGACGGTGAATCGTCACGCCCCAACTCATCGAGCACCAACAAGAGCGCCTCGTTCAACGGCATGCTAACTGATCCCATCACAAAGCTGGAAGAGACTCTTGCGAATCTTACCCTGGCTCTGCTCGCACGCAAAGGCAACATTGTCGGACGTTCTGTTCGTGCAAGGACTGTTGCTGATGAACTCGTTGTCAATGAACTCTACAACACTCTACTTGAGAATCCCGGAAACCTCGATTTGGCCAGTCAATCATCAGTCGACGTTCTGTTTGCAGTGTTTGAAAAGTTCCTGAGCATTGGTTGGAGAGAGCGCATGGGCCCTGTGCTATCTCATGCTACACTAGTCTCGTTGCAAATGCGATCAGACACGATGCCGCCCGACGAATTCGAGGAGTTTTTCAGAAACATGCTTGAACAGTTTGCACCTCCAAATCAGCGAGCATTCCGGGCGGTTATCAATCTGTTGGCCGAACTGTTGGACGGTACTAGCAACGATGGTGACCGTGGCATTCTCACTGCAGCGTTTGCTGAGATGCTAGTCCCCGCTGGCAATTCGCACGACTTCATATCGTTGATGGATCGTCTAGTGGAAGATATCGATGTACTCTTCCCAATTCAGACGCCCGGTCTCAGCACGCCGATCTATGGATCTATGGATTCGAAGGGGCGCTATGCGGCCGCTGGCTCGATAAATCCGAATACGTCTCTCAGGAGACGATTTGGCTTTGGCACTCTAAGCCGAGAGAACAGCAAATCTGAGAACGATTCAAAAGTAGGAGCAATCTGGCGTTCGCTGAGTAAAAACAGTCATGGAGGGTCAGAGGCGCAGTCACCAAGCATATCGAGAAACGGAGTCGGGCCCCTTGCTCGCTCCAACTCGACAGACGCTGCGGCACGTCTGTCACCCAAGCGTCCATCGTCTCGCGATCGTCCGACAGTGCTGGGCGCGTTCAACTTTGAGCCGCCGAGTACCAGCAACCGGCCTTATAGTGGGGTTCTTGGAACTATTGGAGAGGTACCACCCGCTGCTGGGCCTCCCCGCAAGAAGCGGCGCTCTTCTCTGAGTGACCTCAAGACATTACAGGATGCTGACGATGTGCCTGAGTGGTCCCCGCAGACTCCTCGCAAAACCGATTCGGTGCTTCGTCATGAAAATCGGCAGATTAGCGATTCGCCTCGCCCGGAACCGCGTCCAGAACCGCGTCCGGAAACGCCATCAAGTGCGGCATTGCTCAACAAGCATACATCAGCGATACCCACACCTGCACGACTTGGATCTCCGATGCGGTTAGAGAAGAAGGAGAACACAGCGACGAGCGGGTCGGAACGTCCCGGGCACTCTCGGTCAAAGTCGATTACGCCGAAGCTGGAGATCAAGGATGAGATTACCATTAAATCGCTCAACCCTACGAAGAAGCGAAGCGAGACGATTTCGGGTATTCCAAGTCTCCGGCCGACGGGATCTGGACTGCACGAGCGGACGGGATCTGGAAATACGGTCAAGCTTCCGCCTTCAACGCCACGGTCGCCAACCAAGATGGGGCTTGGTTCTACGGGTACGCCAAAGAGGCTCAAGATGCAGTCGCCACAGAAGCTGCGAGAGCGACTGCAGCAGCAAGAACAAGACATTGATGATGCGTCGAATGCGCTGCAGAATGAGCTGAGTGCCATTGGACAGGAACTGAGTTCCAAGGGTACACCACGTCTGACGACTCAAAGCTCTGCGCCGTCATTGTCACTTACAAACGGAGCACGATCAGCAGAGGCACGGATTGCAGTTTTGGAGAAGCAGCTCAAGGCAACATTGGAACTTTTGTCATCGCGCACATCGGGGATAGCGAGCGACGTAGCCACGTCTCTGCAGGTATCTGAAGCGCGGTGCAAGCATCTGGACCAGCTGTATCGCGACGTGAATGCGGAGAACGAGGCACTGTACGCACGGTTCAACGAAGAGTTGGAGAAGGTGACGAGCAGTGCGCGAAAGGGCAGGGCTAGCGAGGAAGTGGAAAGGCGACTCAAGGCGAGCGAAGAAGAGGCAGCGCGTCTGCGGAAAGAAAACGCGCGTCTGAAGAGGGAGGTGGCAGGGCTGAAGGCGCAAATCAGGGAGTAAGAGTGGGTATGGCGTGTGCTCTGCTGACTGCTTACTCTGCTCCTTTTTTTTGAGATATTTTCCCAGAGCGAGAGAGTTTACTCATTGTGGATGAAATTCTACGAATTGCGGCAGGCAACTGATATGACGTGGGGCCTTGTAAGTTTTGAGCGCCAACGGGTCATTCTTTTGTTTTAAGGGGAAGAGGAGTGGATTATGAAGGCATATGACAAGGCGTTGTGTAGGGTTCCTAAGAGCAATATACCAAATGCATGTTTTAGAGCGTATATTGTTACGTACGTAGGTAGTAGCCGTGTATGTACCCGGGCACATGTATATGTTGATATGTGTGTGCATGTGCTAGTACTGGTGAGTGTGTACATGGACGGGCAATTGGGGCGCGGGCCATGTGGCAGGGCATGGGATACGGGTAAGGGTCCTTGTGGGTGTGTGGGTGGGTATGGGTTATACAGTATGTGTATGGGTGGACACGGCAACGGAGGGCATGGCGGGAGGCTCAAGCAAGTAACCCCGCTAGTTTATGCATGTGTTGGCATGGCACCTCAGCCGACAGCCTATCTTGTGCCGCGGCTATCGACATCCATTCTGTTTATCGCCATGGGTTGTGCATTCCAGCCCCGCCCCCATACTGCAAACTGTGAGGCTGCAAGGACCGGACGAGGTTGGTGTCGTACTTGACCCGTCACTGCACTGCACTGCACGGCACGGCACCGCCCTGGCACGCCCACAATACGAGGCTTGCTCTGCTAATGCCAACTTAGTTATCGCTGCACGCTGAGTAGGGCCGAGGGCAGGGCGAGCAGGGCGAGCAGCACCTCTGTTTCAACACGGGCAAATTGGTCGCTATTTCGGGCTCGGACGGCCTGCCTTGCCGCGCTAATACCGCAGCAGCAAAGCACAACGTTTCGCCTTCGGAAACGGGCCCTCTTGGAAGGATGACGATCGCCCAGCAATGCCATCCATCCGACTCCAACAAGCCCACGGCTCGTCGCCCGGCTTCTTCACCTCCCAACATCCGCGACAGACGCAGACGCGCAGGCCCCCCCGTCCTGCCCGCCTCCCCGTTCCCATTACCGCCTGCTTGCGCCCTGTCCTGTGCCTGTACCCTTGACTAACGGCCACCGCTGAGCTGCTGTGGATTGTGAGCTGAGGGCCCTGATCCTCCTTCCTATTACTCCCTCGTACCCGCCGCCAGCCGCATCCGTGCGCCGCCCTCACCTTAAACCTACTAGACGAAACGGCCGCTGCAAGTCCGCAATTGACTCTGTCGCGTGCTAAAGAAGGCTCCATGAAGGAGAGCGGCAATGACTCTCCATGCTGCATCGTCGTCTGAAAGCTCCCCCCATCTACGTCGTCTCTCGCTCGGCAGGCCTGCGTCGCAGCGTCCATCCGAAACCCGTCGAGTTCCAACCACCTCGTCCATACCTCTTCTCCTTCTCTGAGCTGGCTCATTTCACCGCCTCTACACCATGGCCTGGTTCATGAGAGGTGTCCAGAGCGCCCTCTTCCATTACGCCTCATGCGCCCCCTGTACCGGCTACAGCGACAGCAGAAAAAGACGCAAAGCAGCAAAAGAGGCCCGCAAGCTGAGAGAGAAGCTGGAACTCGAGCAGCCCGACGCATACTACCATCCTGAACCCACGGGCACAAATGCCTACTGGAGCGAGGAAATCGCAATGGGCCCTGGCCCACCACCCCGGAGATCGAGGAAGACCAACACCACACAAAGGACCGGCTCGAGGGGACTGCCCACCCGCGGCACCCAAAGCTCAACCCTGAGCAAAGGCGGAAGCAGCCTCGATGTCGACCATGCTGCTGAAAACCGGCTCAGTGACGACACGCTCGATGACGACGACGAGACTTGGAACCACAAGCGCTACCAGCGAGAAGACGAGGATCTATGGGGCTACGACGATCACTCAACAGCCCTCGAACATACAATGACAGGCTCATCTGTAGGCGGTGGCGGCTACCAATTGCAAAGGCCAAATGTGTCTAGGGCTGGAAGCTACTATGTCGCGCGCGTCCCTCCGGTCAATGAGCTGCACCCACCCGTCGTTAGCCTGCCGTCGCCGGATCCTTCGGAAAACAGATGGATGCTCCAACCCCCGCCCAAAGCTAGTGTCATGGCAGGCAAAGAGCGAGCAAAGAACCGGAGTCGCAGTGGCAGTGGTGCAAGTAGTCGCGTAGAACTGAGTCTGGGCCGCCAGGTGAGTACGCGACAACTGATGCAAAAGCTCGAACGCGGACAGACACCCGATCGCCTCACAAACTCTCCAAATGGCTCCCACTCAAATCTTGCACACGGTCGCTGCAAGACACCCCAAGCCCGGCCCCTGTCTGCCACTAGTAGCTCACCCAACAGGAAAAGACGGGATACCGCCATGGCCCGCGACCTGGCCATTGCACGCACAGACACTGCCAGCACCCAGCATTCTTCTCAAGACCCCAGCGATATTACTGTACGTGGCAGTTCCACTCTGAGTGTGGACGTTCAAGTACTCCGCACCTATCAAAGCCGCCCTGTTCTCTCGACTGTAGCCTCCAGCAACTCAGGTCAAGACGAGAACGCTCTCCCTGAGAAACCCAAGCCCGTATATCGCAACTCCACCACTTCCGACCTCAGCTCCCTCAGCTGCCTCCAAGATCTCGTCTCGCCCCAAGCCTTGCTAACCTCGCGCTTCGTCTCTGCACCCCTGGTCGAAGCCAAGATCCGCTTGCCCCCTTCAGAAGAAGACATGGCTGCTCGAGCGCGAAAAGACAAGATTTCCCAAATCAAGAAGGATGACGACGAGGTAGACGCCATCATCAATGTGCCTTTTGATCGTGAATCCGGACCACCAGAGAAGGATCCTGCATTTCGATGGAGTGTGGACTTTTGAGATCCATCGTTACTACTAACGTAACTCACATTTGACGTCGATCTGGAGTATCCGACTCACAAACTTTTTCTTTTCTTTTCTTTCGACTCGTACAGCATGACCGGACTGCATCAGTACGAGTATGGTGCCGGCACGCGCTACTACCCTTTTTTCTTTCTCAACCCGCATACTCGAAATCACCTGGCCATCGCTCGGTCCATTCGTCGCGAAATCTTTTCTTCTGAGAGCATACTCTCTTTTTTTGCATCCAGCACTTTTTTTCCTCTTCGTCGCTGTTTGCGTCATCGTTTTGGCCTTTTCTTCTCCTCCCTTGTTCCACAATGAGCGTTTTTCCTGCAGCGAGAGCGAAGAGCGAAAAAATCTTTTTGCATTTTTTTGTGGTCTTTTCGCTTGGATATAGATACGATTGATATGACCTGTTTTGCAACTCACTGGCGGCGTTTTTTTGTTGGATCGTTGGATTGTTTGCCGTTTTGTTTCTGGGTCTGGGGTACTAAGAGCATTTTGAGCTTTTTTTTTCTTCTTCTCTCTTCCGTCTTTCTCTTCTCCCTACCCTTTCGTTTCCCTTTGTTGTCGTTGTTGTCGTTGCTGGTTGGTTGATCGATCCTCATTTCACAATGTATATATCATCGCGTTAGCAGAGCATTAGCTTCAGGTAGTTTGTTGTTGTTGTAGGTCCTCTCTGCAAACAGAATGTAATTCATACAAGACTTCATTGGGTCTAGTTGCAAGCATCGTCATTTTGACAAGTATTAAATCGAGGTGAAAGCGCTCGAGGTTCATTCAAGTGATTCCAACATGCATGATTGGCATCTCAATCTCCGACCCCCTTCGCACCAATCCACACGATACCTACCACAACATCCTCCCCCCCCCCCCCCCAAAAAAAAAGCACTAGACACAAACCCACTCTCATATCTCCTCAGTCACAACCCTATACCTCTACACCTTCCCAACTTCACCACCTACACGCACATGTATCCCTCCCAAAAAAAATCATTAACAAGAACAGCAAGGCGCACATCTCTCTTCTTAGTCTCCCTCTCTCTCTCTCTCTCTCATTCCTTCTTCAAGGTAAAATACCCACGTAGCCCCTAGCCCATCTTCTCATCACAACTTCCCCTACTCCCCACCACGCACGGCTACCCTTGCCGCTTCCGCGCTAGGGAGTGTGTTGTGTATCAGCGTGGCATCCTGTGCTTGTGCGTGAGACCCTGTGGCGGCGACGGGGGATGTTAGTGGTGCTTGATGGGTTGGTTTTTGTATTTCTTCTTTCGGGTGCGGATATCGGGCTTGTACAGTGGCGCTTTTCCGACTACATGTGTATGTTAGGGCTTGGTGCCCGTTGAAGGGAGGGGGGGGGGGCGCTGTGGTGGGGATTTAGTGAAGGCTTTATTTTTTCTTGATGGATATGAGGATGAAGGCGAAGAGCTTAGAGGGTGTGCGGTTGATGGAGAGAGAGGGAAGAAGGTAGCGTTGATTGTTTTCCATGGTTCTTTTACTTTTACTTTTCCCTTTTGGTGTGTGTTGGGTACCTATTTCGAGGTTCCGGTTGGGAGACAACAAATTTGCCATGTTGGCCACATTATGTTCCTTTTTTTTCTTAATTCTCTTTGGGGAAGGAGGATAGTGCGAATGTTGATTTGCCATGTTACTATATTAGTTCAACAGGACATGTGCGTACCACTGTCACAATTCGGATGTGTAGGGACGGAGGCCAGAAGAAAAAAGTAACCGGGAAGGAGAAAGCAATGGCCAAAAGAAAGCAAAAGTTGCATCGTCAGGTGGTACTTCTAGTTGGACTAGACAAAACGCACACACGGCCATGGTCGATGTTAGTATATTGCAAGACGGCTCCCTCTCCCTCATCTCCGATCTTTCCAACGATTACACGATATACACGCCATCACCATCTTACTCCCGCTTCCGAGCAAATAAAAAACAAGAAAGGTTTTCTAGCTTACGCCTTCGGACATTGAGTTTCCACAAGTTACGCCTTCATTACGCGCCTTCTGCCCTACCACGCCTTAGACAAAGATCGTCAGATACGAAAAGCTTACTACGGCATACGAGTCATTCGGGCTGAGACTTTGGGCCCCCACGCACACGTTAGACAGCGATCGATCATGATCAAAGATCGGGCACCCACATTTGTCATGGTTGGAGCCTTGCTGGCCATTCTACCCATCGGTCTCAGTATACTTGCGGCATGTCTACACAAAAGGTGGAGGGCGAAGCAAAGGAGAAAGAGAGATGCGCTGGCTGTTAGTGGAGAGGGACTGGGGAGTGGAGACGCGGGGAAAGAAACGGCGGAAGGGGACAGGGTACAAGGCGGCGCGGCTGTGATGGAGAAGGGACAGTGTTTTGAGGGGGAGCAACGAAGTAGTAGCCGCGATCCGGTCCATGAATCGAGTACGGAGATTAGATAGAGTTTCCTAGGACGAGCTTTGTTAAGCGGAGGGCGAAACAGGCCGATGAAACGGCTTGCTTGAGTGATTACAATTAGAGCTAGATCGAAGATTAGTTTGTTGCTCCATCTTGCTGTCTGTGCCTTGTTTGTTATTGTTATCTGCAAATTGGGCATCGTCTTCACCCTTCTCATAATGCCTGAACAATACTGAGGATGCCTGGGCTATATGCGTGGAGCCGTCGTATTGACCTTGGATTACAATCAAACAATGCATCTGGATACGACGCTGCTTTCCTACCCGGCAATCTCCGCCTTTTGTTCTTGGTGCGATATGCGTATGACGAGGCAAGGGGCGCTGATCGTAAGTACATGGCATTGTGCGTATGGAAAGGATAACCTGGGATGATTTTCGGCTGCTCCCGGTCCTAGGAGGCAGTGGCATGGTATGTGCTTTTAATCCTCCGGTCGGCAGTTTGCTTGGCATACGTGGTTGATTACGGCAGGCAGCACATTTTTATGAAGAAATCGGACAGGAGCAGGAGCAACGGGTATCTACGGCCAAGAGGGGCGCCAGGGGTCCTGTAAAAAACCAATATTTGGCGGGGTCCTAGGTGGTAGGCGTGAAAAACACGAGTTCAGGGGCGACGCGTGCTTGAACGACGGCAGATGAAGAGTCGAGCGGTGCCATGTCCCCTGAGGCGCGGTGTGGCGTATGGGAGACAAGAGACAGGTCAATTAGGCGTGTTAGAGTGCGCGCATTTCACGATATGAGACGGGGTCAGGCCCTGGAGGCGGACGTTGGCGGGGGGCAGTCAAGGACATAGGAGAAAGAGGGGGAGGGGGAGGAGGAGGTAAGGTTCGTCAATCTCCCAAAGCGGACTAGCGCATGGCCTCTGCCATCGCACCCTTGAGGCGACGGTGAAGACACCCTGAAGGTTGAGAGGACCGTGGGCACGTCTTATTCGTCTCGGGGCGCCCATGTGTAATTTAACATCGGACGCCGTCTCCTCTCCCCCTCTGGACCTATTGACTCTTGCAGCCTCTTCCCAGCGAGGGCATCCTTTGCCATCCACGTAGTCGGCGGCGGCGCGTGTCCAAGTACTTGTACTTACAGCAGCACCAGCACCAGCGCAGCAACGCGCCCCGGACCCTTTGCATGCCGATCATGCACTGATCGCCCTCACCTGCAGTTGGTTCCATGTGAAAAGCCGTGCCTATTGTGTGGTCTTTTCTACTCTAGACTTGACTTGTCTTGACAAAACCATAGCCGTCTGGGTCCGATCCAGTGTCACCTGCACGCGGCCGCTATGGACGCACACAACGCGCAGCGCTCGCCCGCCGCCAATGAAGCAGCGAACCAGACTTTAAGGTCGCGACGGCGCAACTCCCTTCCGCTATCCATCAAGACATCCGACCCCCGCCCTGCACAGCGCTCCTCGCACTACATTCGCAACGCTGCCACCTCGCCTCAGATTATCTCCTCGCTCATCGACCAGCTGTCCGCCATTTCTATCCCCGCAAACAACCACTTTGAGAACCTGCTCGTGGGCTACGACAGCGCCCCTGTCCCCTCTGCTGCCCCTAGCCTGCGCGCCCACTCGCACTCGGACAAGACCTCCATCGCCACGGGATACGATGGCGCCTCGGCCGACCACGCCTCCTACCACGACTCACTAAGAAACCAGAACCATATTGACCCAGACGACGCATGCGAGCCCCCCGTTGTCCGCACCTCCAAGCCCCCCTCGGGCAAGTCGCCCCTGACCGCGCCCAAGAAGGCCAGCAAGCCGCACTCGCTCAGCAACTACCTCGCCCGGAGCGGCAGCAGCTCCTGCTCCCTCCAGTCCATACACTCGAACCGCTCCGCAAGCAGTTTTGGCAACATCAGCATTGAGGCGGGGCCGACGCGCCAGGTCTCCATCGGCAGCAACAGATCCTCCGTCGAGAGCAAGCGCAGTGTCAAGGCCCACAAGAGCCTGATGTACATGAGCTCGCGCGAGCGGCTGCGGCAAAAGGAAACTGAACGAAAACGCGCAACTGTGCACGGCTTTGACGACATCTCGACTACCGACTCCCCAAGGAAGAACACGACCCATCTTTTCCCCTACGAAGATACGATCAAGGAAGAGCCTTTATCCGCAAAAGACGACCTCGACATCGACGACCTTGACGACGACCCCTCTCGCTTTGTCCCGCGATACCCAAGCACGCGCCGAGTTCGCTTGAATCTAGTAGATGGTCCATACGGCGAGAGTCCAGCGGAGAAAGGCCTGATCCCCGAACGTGGCTCATCCTTGAGGCACGCAGCTAGTCCGACGCGCAAATCCAGGAAGCATCGCTCCGAGGAAAAGAGCCGACACAAGTCCAGCAATAAAGCCGAGCACGCGGCCGAATCAGCCAAGAAAATGGCATCAGAAGAGAAATTGGATCCAGAGGCGCAGAAGCAGAAGAAGATTCTGGACGAGCTGGAACAGGAAGAAAATGAAGTTGCTCGAAGGATTCGACAGCTGCGAGAGCGCAAAATGCAGAGGGAGAAATTGGCCGGAGTTTTGCCGTCAGAAATGGATGCAGGGGCGACACCACCTAGGTTGCCTTGTGTTTCATCTACTTCAAGTCCTCTGTGCTCCCCCACTACAACTGTGTCAAGTGTGTCAGATGATGGAAGGAGAATTAGTGACTCCACAAAGGCACACAAGGTCCTCGGTATCTTGCAGGATCCAGCAGATAGGCCTGTTGATAGAGAATATGCGGATAGGCACGATCCTTCAGCACCGAATCGAGCACGAAGCATGCGGCCTAGACCCCGGAGTCTAACGCTAAACGATAGCGATGGTGTGAACCAGCTCCCCATCGACTACACGCTTGCCCTCGAAAGCCTCGGCCAACTCTCCCCAATGTTTGCTCCAAACACACGGCCATCAAAACCGCCTGCCCCCCCGAGCATCGCTTCCAAATCCACAATGACAAGCTCCGAGTCTTCTGTGCTCAGGCGCTCCAACTCGCTCGTCGTCGGAGGGAGGTCCGCAGTCGCGCGGCGAGCGGCAACCACTGCCATCATCGTCACCAAACCTTCCGGACACAAGCACTCTTCCAGTGTCACTGATGAATCGAGTTCCAGACTGACTCTGCCTTCACGGGCGGCCAGCGAAGAGCCCATCACCCGCCACCGCTCAATGCTCATAACGCCTATGCCAGATTCCCATAGCGCGCAGCTTCATCGCAAGCGCACGGGCGCCAAGAAGAGGTGGTCTCACCCCGATTTGCCAGCCAAAGCAGAGAAAGCGCATAACGACAGAATAGAACGGAGAGAAGAAAGCGCACGAGCCGCGGCCGTGCAAACTCCACCACAGCCGATAATTGAAGAGCGACCAGCGAGCCGCGATTCCATTGATCTGGATGTGAATCAATACCTGGATTCGGAGCGCTTGTCGCAAAAGATTCGGCATCCGCAAACTGGCAGGCTTATATCCTTTTCCGAAGTTGGTGATCCCCAAGGGTTTGCCGTCTTTGTCTGTGTTGGCATGGGCCTCACGAGATATGTAATGGCCTTTTACGATCAGCTCGCTGCTACACTAAAGCTGCGACTGATTACGCCGGACCGCCCTGGTATTGGAGCAAGTCAAGTTGATCCGAATGGGACTCCACTTAGTTGGCCTGGTAAGTCGATGGGTCAGCAGTCCGCTCCTTTTGTTGTGTACTAACATTGACTTAGATGACGTCCTCATAATATGTCAAGCCTTGAAGATCAACAAGTTCTCCATACTAGCACATTCGGCAGGAGCCGTCTACGCTCTTGCAACATCGCTGCGAATGCCACAACACATACGCGGCAAAGTGCACTTGCTTGCGCCTTGGATCCCCCCATCGCAAATGGCGCCTATCGGTATTAGCCAGGACAGCCCACCAACACAGCAACTTCCGAGATCACAACGCTTCCTCCGTGCCCTGCCTCCATCGCTTCTCAAGGTGGCAAACTCGACCTTCCTAAGTGCAACGAGTGCCAGTCTCCAACGGACCGGACCCAAGACCGCGCCTAAGGCAAGGCGGAAAAGCATCGCACCTTCGCCAACGCCAAGCCAGGCCGCCGTAAGGCCACCACTAAAAGATACGCACCGACACTCCATGATGGTCATGGACCAGGTTTTGCCGAATGCCAGTACCTTGACTCTAGCGAATTCGCCGTGCCAGAATGACGAAGAGGTGCAGCGCATGCAAGAAATGCTGAGTATAGCTGAACGCGAGCGACAGCGTGCTTTCGACGAGCGTCTTACTTTTGCAATCTGGGACCGTGCAACTGCAAACGCCAATCCTGCCACCGATCTCATCGTCTGCCTAGAAACCAAGCAGAGCATTGGTTTCCGATACGAAGACATTAACCGCCCAGTCGTCATTCACCATGGATCTAAGGACTCACGCGTGCCCGTCGACAATGTGCGATGGCTAGGCAAGCTAATGCGGAAATGCGAGGTCCGCATCTTGGAGGGCGAGCAGCACGGACTCATGGCTAGCGCGCAGGTCATGGGCAATGTGCTCACGGAGATGGCGAGCGACTGGGAGGACTGGAACAACGCCACACGATATTCGAGCGAGCGTACCGTCTCAAGGAGACGGACAACCGAAAAGCTGAAGACACAAGTAAGCTTCACTAACTAGGTCCAGACATGCCATACACACCACGTATGCATGGGAACTCCCTATGTCGATTCAAACACCCTGAATGACTTTTGACACGGTCTAAATATTTTTATTCTACTACGGAAGCGAGCGAGCGTGCAACCGCCTATTTTTTTTTCCTTGCTTATTTTTATCTTCTTTCCTTGCCTACATTTCCTTGGGAACGATCGGACGAATACCCCTTTTAGCAATTTTGTTCATTGCCATTAATACCTCTCTATTTCTTGTTTGTTGTGTCTTAATCTGATCAGTTGTTCAATTCTGTCCTTTTCGACACACTATACCCTTTTTCCCTGCATGAGTAGTACTTGGGTACGCGGGGACGCTTGTCTTATTTGTTTTGCTCCGCTTTTCTTTAGTCGTATTCATAGAGGAAGGAAGGAAGAAAAGGTTGGATGGGAAGGAAGGTGACTCGCACGGTAGAAAGGCGGGGGTGTTCTTCTGGTTCCACGGGAGGTGATGGTGGGTAGATGGAGCCGTGTTCAGATGTATATGTTTCAGCATATTCGCATCGCACCTCATAGTGGGGGTTTTTTTCCTAGGCACGGCCATATAGACATGAATAGCTATAATGACCTGCTTGCAATTCTACACCTCGACGGTTGCATCCGATACCTTTCTATCTGCCAAGCTGTGTGTCTCTGATAGTACAACACCAGACCACTGTGATACATACTGTGCATACATCCGCATCCCAAAGTCAACCACCACTCTTTACAAGGTGTACGCCTCAGCCCCCTTACCAAACAGCAAATGCGGTTTCCTCTGCGCCAAATCCAAGATAGTCTGCGCAAAAACCGAATTCGCCCACGCAAACCAACTCCGCGTAAACGACGACGCATAATCGACATTAATACTCTCATGCACCAATCCCAACTTGGACACATTCTTGACAGACTCGAGACACTTTGTAATCTCCGTGTCATCCTCGCTCGTCATAGCCTGCACGAGGACAGCCATGGGCCAGGCCGAGCGTAGCCCAACATGCGGCCCGCCAATGCCATTGAATGACGAGCCAACAAGGTAGTACGGGTTCCCCTTCTTCTCTAGAATCATCTTGCGCGTATTCTTATAAATCTCATTCTTCGCGTCCGTGAACCCGAGGAGAGGAAGTGCAAGTAGCGAAGGCAGATTTGCATCATCCATGAGGATCGATGAGCCGTATCCATCTACCTCGAACGCAAAGACCTTGCCGTATTTCTTATGCGTCACAACGCCATGTTCCCAGACGCCCTTTTCGATTTTATCGCCCCACTCCTTGAGTTTGGCAGCGATGATTTTCTTACCTGCTTTCTCCAGGATGACTGCTGTGCGTTGGAGCTCAGTCGCCATCATGGCGTTGGATGGGATCAAGAAACCGAGGATTGTGGCATCGTCGCTGGGGCGGAAGGCGCTGCGGACAAGGCCTGTACCGCCGTTGAGGGGGTTGCCCAGGCCGCTGAGGCCGAGGGTTTCGGTACCGCTGTCGGTGTGGCGCTGCCATCTGTATTCGTTGCCAAGGTAGGCGCCCGTGGTTTCGTCAAAGGTGGGCTTGGACTGCTCTTTCAGCACGTCGAGGAGGGTGTCGAGGGCGAGGAGCCAGCGGGCGTTGATGAATTCCGTGGATGAGGTGTGGTTGTGGAATTGGTTGGATAGGGAGAGGAAGTGTGCGAGGGAGTCGAGCTCGTATTTGCATTCGAAAACAAAGGATTGTTCGTAGATTGGATGGACGTTGTCACCGTCGCCTTGGAATGTGGGTTTCAGTCCACTTGGTGGGGGTGGCTGGAATGCGTTGCAGTATGGGGATCCGATGACGTATTCGGCCTGGGTGTTGATAGCTCCTAGGATGAGCTTGTGGATTTCCTTGTCCTTTTTTGCAAGGAGCTGATATTGTGCTAGCTGGTTCGTCGAGTCACGTAGCCATTCGGCATTGATGTCACCAGTGACGATGAAACTCTGCGCTCCTTTCCAAGCAGCAGGATCCCAGCTCTTCTTCGACATCTTGGGCTTCGAGGTCCCGTCCACATGCCATCTCACAGTGGTATCTAACGTGTTCGGAAATGCGTTTTCGAAAAGACGAGCGAGGTCTTTATCAACCATCCTTGCGCTCATATCATCAATGACCTTTTCTACAAGAGGCGATTCAAACGTTCGACAGTACTTGAAGGGCCGTTGGAAGGGCAGTGACAGGGGACCAGAGCTGTATGGTGGACTGGTATATTCATTAGCACATGTCATTCTCAACATGATGCTATGCATACTGTGGTCGTTTGGCATAGTTTGCGTAGTCCGGGCATGCTGCGCGATACTTGAGTGGGTCGATATCAGCTCTCAGAGGCTCTTGTTCATGGACATTGTTCAATCCTGCAGATACGGGTTGAAGGGTAAGAAAGGATCCCAGGGATAGCGCGGCTAAATGCGACTTCATGATGCTGGAGATGCAGGTACAGCAATGTCCGGCAGAAGTGTGTTGCACGACGATAGTGGACAGCGAGGAACGGATAAATGGATATAGGACAAGGGTGTATTTAGGTGAGGCTAATCGGCATGGCTTGGCCAAAACACAAAGTATCCCAAGGGTACTGAGTGTAAGATAGGTGAACAAGCTTCAATCGACGTTTGAGATTGTCCATGTTGAGCTCACGAGGTGGCTGTCAGACGCGGAGCACGCCAACACCTCCGCCAATCAGCGGCCATCAAGTCCGCAGGGCCCGTGCTGCAGCTCGAGTGTCGCATGGGATGCGACCTACGCCATGTCCTTCCTTTTCCCTCACATACACAGGCTCGCCATTACGTTTACAGAGCTCTTCCAGGCTCATGCTTACTCTACAAAAACTAATGTGTCCCTAGCGATTCAAGTCCGATCTCCTTTGCTCCCTGCGCCACTCGAATCGAGTCGAGTCGAGCCAAGTGCACACAACGCCAGCCATCTACACTTGAAACAAGGTCTTGATTGATCGTGCTCAGTACCTACAACCAACATGATTTCTTTACCAGGTCTCAACCTATCCTCACAGCCCGTCGAACCACAAAATGCACCAACGTCAGTAGCTACACGGACCCAAGAGCTCGCGGCGAATACCGAGTACCGCTTCGAAGTGTCCTTCTCCCGCACCCTCACAGTCAAATTGCAATCAGGCACAGCCGAATTCTTCGGTACCGAACTGGCGCCCTCGACCACGTACTCCTTCTCAGGGACAAAGGGCGCCATCTTCACATGGCACGGCTGCAAGCTCGATATCGGCGGGGAGGTAGAGTCGGATTACATTGCCGAAGAAACACCCATGATGAGCGTTGCAAACTTACACTTCGCACTAGAGAACCTACGCGACAAGAGCATTGCCAGTGGCAGCGTAGAAATGGGTCCTAGAGTACTTGTTGTGGGGCCTGAGAACTCTGGCAAAACATCTCTCGTCAAGACACTGACGTCCTACGCCGTCAAGACGGATAGACAGCCAATGGTGGTGAATCTCGATCCGCGTCAGGGCATGCTGAGCGTGCCTGGATCCTTCTCCGCAGCCGCATTCTCGTCAATAGTAGACATCGAAGAGGGCTGGGGCAGCAGCCCCATCTCGGGACCCAGCCCGATCCCCGTGAAGATGCCGCTGGTATATCACTACGGGCTGAGAGACCCCGAAGAAGGCAGGGTGTTCAAGCCGTTGGTTACACGCATGGCTCTTGCTGTTACTAGTAGACTTGAAGAGGACAAGCTGAGCAAGCAGGCTGGCTTCATCATCGATAGCTCGGGCGCAATCAGCCATGGAAAGAATGGCGTCTACGACAACATAGAGCATATTGTTTCTGAATTTTCTGGTGCGTGTGATGTCTTGATATATCCTTTTTTTTCTCCCTGTCCAACAAACACATTCCTACATCTACAGCGACTCTGCCAACTCTACACGCCTTATACACATAGTCCTCCCAACATTCAAACAAAACACCCAGGTACCGCCCCAAACACTTGCTCGATCAAATAACTAACCACAACCCTCTCTTCTCCCCCAAACAGTCAACGTCGTCATAACCCTCGGCTCCGAACGCCTCTACTCAGACCTCTCCCGCAAATTCTCAACCCGCACCTCATCCGACCCCACCGAATCCGTCAGCGTAATCCGCCTCGACAAATCCGGCGGCTGCGTCGATCGCTCAGAAACCTACATGCGTGCCCTGCGCCACGCACAAATCAAAGAGTATTTTTTCGGCCACGGCGATGAGACGCTCGCGCCCAGCAGCCAGACCGCTGACGTTGCCGATTTACACATTTTCCGCATCGTGGGCGGTGGCAGCGACGAGGCGAATGGAAGCGAGGCGGTAGATGACTACGGTATGCCTATTGTACCTTCTGGTGCGTTGTTCGAAAAAACGGTACCCGGGGAGGGAATGGTGAATCAGCTCCTGGCGATTACGACGGCGAGTCCGAATGAGGCGCATGCCGTGATTAGGGATAGTAGTGTTCGCGGCTATGTTTACGTTGCTGATGTGGATGAGAGTAAGAAGAAGGTTAAGCTGTTGAGTCCGTTGCCGGGGCAGACGCCAGCCAGTGCGTTGATTTTGGGGAGTTGGCCGGAGCCTGTGGAGGGGCTTGTAGGGTAGTTGGGAAGGGGGTGGGATTGGGAATGTTTTTAAGGGAGGAGAAGGGAGAGAGAGAGAGAGAGAGAGCGCACATCGTTGAGTATTTTTATAACAAGTCTTTTTTTGTGGTTTTTTGTTTGGAATAAATGATTTGATAAAAAAATATACAACTACCTATCTGCATTTGAAATGGCTTTGACTTTTTTTTTTCCAAGTATTCGTTTGGAAGATAGCTACCTCCCACTAGCTACGTCTGTGTTGCCAGTCCCGACCGAAACGCCTGCCCGACATCGCTCGTAATCACTGTTTGAGAAAAATCAATCTCCGCTGCATCTCAACATCGCCCCGTTCGGCCAGGTACTTCATACCGTTTGCTTACCATGTCTCCTTCCCGATCCTTCTAGACATTTTGGCGTTTCTTCTCCGCT